GGGGGGGGGGGGGGGGGGGGGGTACGAAAGATTGGACAAAATTGTAGATTCGTCATTATAAAATTTTTTGATAATCAACCGAACGGTTATCGACGGTTTTGAAACGTGTGTAGATATGATTTATTATTATTATTTTATTAATATGAAAAATTATAAGGATCGTGTTGTCTCTGTGTTATTTTAATTGTAGTACTAATCGGACAGATGTCCTTGGGCTGCGACCTTCGAGCCTTCGGGAGCACGGAGAGAAATCTTCAAGGATCGAGGTAAAGAAAGATCCTGGAGGGATCCTGGAAAGATCTCGTCCTTCCACGTTGCCCGTTTTCAACGTGAATCGAGCGGCATCGGCTCCTCAAGAGAGAATAAAGCCGACCGCGGCGGGGCCCGACACTCTGTTTCTTTAATTGCGTTAATAAATAAAGGACGGCCAGCCGGGGTCCCCGGGGCCCGTTTGCGGGGCCCTGGATTGAGGATGGAGTCGAAAGAGGAAAAGAAGAAGAAGAGAAATGAACGGTAGTGGGGAAAAAGAATGTTGCGGTAGGAGGAGAAATAAGGTGGATAGAAGGTAGAAGGTTCCATCTACGAGAGAGGAGAAAAAAGGAGAAAAAAAGTAAAATTAAAAAAATTAAAAGTATAAAAAAAATAAGATGAGCGTCCCACACCAAGTGCACTATCTTCAATCTTTCCTTCTCTCTAACGCTTCTTCCCACTCTTTTTCTATTTCTTATTCTTCCTCCTCTTTCTCTTGTCTCATTTTCTACTTCTTCTTTTATACTCAGGAAATCGCAATATTTAACACGATAGTTAGTCCTTGCCCCGGGCTGGATGACAAGCCACGGCCAATCCCAAGTCTGTATATATATATATATATCTACCTATACATACACACGTTGGACAGGGCCGGGAAGCATATTTTACACGTGCGACTTGGACTCGAGGTGCGCGAGTCCCCGTGCGGCATTCCACGCGTGGGAAACAATGCCGACTAGCTTCTTTATGGGGAATTCACTGGGTGGCTTTTGATTTCCTATACCATTGAAAATCGGTTCGTCCATGCCCAATTCCAGTTGCACCATTAACCACTCCTTAGCTACAATACGAATCCCATCCATCCAAAACCCCCGTCTAAGTGCTCATAAGTTACTCAGATATTTGTGCTACGGCATAAATCTATGTGTACCAGTGCTGATCTTAAATTCGTATTTCGTCAAGCATATAATAAAATTTTATTAAAATTCTACTGTCCCTATTGTGTCATAAAGTATAGCTAGTAATTGTAATAACAGGGAAACAGGTGAATAAAGTATTCTCCTTGTTGAAAAGAGAATATTCTCAGACGTCGCAGGATCCACGAAGGATTTGTAAAAAAAAAAGGAGAATTGCCTAAAGGTAACCGGTACAGCAGAGCGGCAACTAAGAGCATGAGGAGAGAACAAGATTTCTACCTTAAGGAACGGCTTCACTTGTAAAACAAGCATGCATGCGAGCAAGAGCACAGGGACCCTGTTACCTCGAGTCCCGTGGGAGAGAACTCCTGGTTGTTTCCTTCAGGCTTTAACAGTGCGATACCTGAGGCGTATCCCGAACAACGTATAATTAACATTGCTATAGAACCATTCGACTGTACATTGATTTACCGGTAATACGTATGTAATATAAATCCATAATTAAAGGGACCTTCTTTTTTTTTCATGTGCAGAAAATATCTCCCCGATGGCCATGAGGAATTTTCCGCCATCTTTTTGGAACAGTCAACATCCTGGTGACGTTTACGATTATCCAACGGATCCGTGGCATCCGCACTATCCTCAGTATCATCATAGGTTAGTATAGGAGCACATGGTACTGTCTATTGATATTTTTGACATGTTTCCTGATGTTCCCATAAGCCATGGGGCACTGTTGACTCGCATGCGTACTCAATTTACTTTAGACTCTGGTATTTACATGAGAAATCCTTATTTTTCCTTATAGAGCCGTGCACGAGTATCACCACCATAACATGGCGGCTGCTGCGAGTTACGGTGGTTTGCTGTTGGGTGGTGCTCGTGGCCTTGGACACCATACGTCCCACCATGCTGCACACCATGCGCATGCTGCGGCGGCTTCCTATAAGGACTGGACGTCAGCGACGCCGTCGCAATCCCTCGTAGACGCTTCTACGGCGCCCCCTTATCCCCATGGTCCGTACGCACCCTTATCCGGTGAGTATTGGACCTGAGATACAAGAGACCTGGTGGTGCGACCTACGAACTGGTCGTGTTAGGCCTTGTATACATAAAACATATGTAGAGTATCCAATGAGAGTTGAACAGTCTTATGTGGATGAGATTACGTCAAAGTGAGAATAGGATGCTGGCGATACGTAGGGATGCTAAAAGAAATATGGACCCCGTATGGAAAGTCATGACGATTCGAAAGGACTGAAAGAAAAAGATATACTACAAGGAAAGGAAAATCTTATTGAAGGAATCTTACAAAATCCTGAAGATACCGACCGAATTATTTTGAGAGAAAAGAATTATGTAAAGGTACGACACGACTTTTGATGGGGTCTAAGGATTTTTTTTTCTTCTTATGTAAGATCAATGAAAAATTTGTACTAGCCAATTGGCCGGACACGTCCAACTGGCTATTATTATTTATTAATCGTGGGGTACGTGCCAACACCACCCCAGAGAACCAAGAGACTAAAGTATGTAAAGTAAAACCGACTGTATTTGTAACGATGCTATTTATATAGTATATATATATAGTATATATATATAAATAAATATATTAAAAAGTAATAAAGAATATCATAAATACACAAGATTGAGACTTGATTTGATTTTACTCCGTAGCCCATGGGGCGGTGTTGGTCCCACTGTATCACCATTCTTGAGATATTAACCATTCCAAAAAAAGAAAATCAGTGAAAACCCAACAGACCTCCATCATCCTCTGTATCATGCATGTTGAATCCGCTAATTCCTTGCACCAGGAAATGCACTACCTCAAAGAAGACGTGCCAGGTACATACGTCTTGGAAATAATAATGGCTGTCGTGTCGCAGGGTTTCATGGGAGCGATTGGACACAAATTGGAAGGTTCAGAATTTCACAGGAGTGTTCTCGAAGTGCGTGCTTTCAAAGAGCGATATAAAACGGTAGGATGACTTGTTGGCGAAGACAGAATGGCGCGCAGGTAGCGACGAACGCTTGCGCACAAGAAATCCAGTCGGTCCTTTAGATCTTCACAATTAATAAGAGCTTAATGGGGACCTCAGTCCGATAGCGCTCTCCTTCGTAACTTCTACCATTCTCATTTTGTACTTTCTGTATATATACATCTACCCATATAACTCGAATGGTCACTGGTATCTGTATGTTCGTGATATTTGGGCCCGATTGCACTGGGACCGTCGAAATGATCGCAACGACAAAAACTTACTAGTCCACCGACTGTAAAACATTTCGGTCCACCTCGCAGCTCGAGGTGCACTCAACGGTTGAGTAAAAAAAGGGCCATAGGATTATATAATATATAACTCGTGGAATATATAGATAGACAGGGAATGTTAAAAAAAAAAATATATAAAAAAATTATAAGGGATGACATTTTTTGATTTTCTATATTTCTCGTGATTTAGTAGGAATCGAATTCGTTGTAGATTTTAGTATGACGATTTTTATGTGTCAATGTCATTTTGAATTTTTAATATTGACTTTTAAAATTATTCTACTCCCGCAGTATCGTACCAATCGTAGGGCTTCGTTCTAATTCACCCCGTAGTATAGACGGCTGGGGGACGTCATGTGTGTCAGAGTTATCCTAGACCGAGGGGTAGGTACCTACGTGCGTTCACGGCTGCTTTCGTGCTCGATGCACTTGCGGGCTAAATACTGCAGCTGCAAAGTGCGCGCCACGCCCATTGTCATCGGAAGACCACTCCCAGTTTGTGCGAGTAAAGCTGCCTTCTTTTCAGGACGATTGAGGTAAAGAGTGGAATGTTAAAGATGATAGAAAAAAAATTCTCATAGAACGAAGTAATAATAAGCGCGAATATTGAGAATTTCTGTCGTTATTAAATGAAATTCATCAAAATTTCGTCAATTTATTTTCAACTCCGTATACGCTCGTTGCTACGAACTCTGCTTTATTTTTGTATATCGATACAGATGAAAACGACAATGTAGTCTGATGATAGAAGTAAAGAAAAAATTGATACCGCAAGCAAACCTGAAGAATTCACCATTATTGGTAAAGGGTAGTCAAGATGGCACTCTGTTCGTGAGTCCAAAATCGATAACTAACACAAGATTGCCTCTAACCTTCCAACCTTCCTTCCGAGCATCTACCATACCGTCCGTTCATCAATCCATCCATCCATCCATCCTTCCACCCTTTCACTCAACCTTCTCCGTGTCACCGATTCAACCCCCCCCCCCTCTGCTAGTTTGAATACCTATACAGCCACCTTGTGAATTTAACCCCAGCAGCTCTCGAATGCCCGAATCTGTTAATCATCCCCCCAGTAACCAACGCGGTGAGAGAGGGTTGTCTTGCGAATTATTAGAAATCCACCCCCTTGTATAAGGCCACCCCTAGAATCTCATCATCTCCTCGGTTACACTGTCTAAGCGTTATACTCTTATCGTTCTTCAGGATCGTTTCGAATTTCTTCCCAACCCTCGTGTAATTCATCCATGTCGAAAAGACACCCCTTAGCTGAAACTACCATGGAACCTTAGCTCTATTGCCGCGGATCTCGAGTACCTGACACACGCGAATCCTAAAACCCGGTAAACTAGTTTTCAAGAATTCACATTGCGGAATGTTGACGTCGACAATTCCACAATTCCGCAACTATTGACACGTACACTTGGCTGTAGGCAGGTAGACGTATATATGCGTTTATGTTTTTAGGAATAGTCAAACCTCCTTGAAATCAGCTGACGGCTTACAATATACGTATGTATATACATATATATATCGGAGTGATACGAAATTGAAGATGGACAACGGGGTAGTTATACACGGTGTAAAAATAGTATTTTCATGGAGTTCTTAGGTATTGGAGTTGACGGGACACTTCCCGGAACCGAATATATTCGGTATAACGTGAACGGAGTCTAATTATTTAATTGCACAAATTGACTCGAGAAGCATAAATTGGCTGACGTTTAAGCGCGATTAAGAGGAATAAATCGTAATTACGCTACCTCGAGAAACAACTCTAGATGGTCAGCGATTATCATTTCAACAGTCGAGTTTCTTGCGAATCCCTGTTTGTACTTTCGTTTTTTTTCCCCTTATTATCTACCATGTTTTTTTCTATCTCCATACTGATCTTACTTGTGGGGAACAATTTGAATCGATTGACAAATTCAGATAAACAGCAAATAGCATTTACTACGGTGTTTCAATGAAATCAACAACAATCGACAACAATATAATGTAACATTACTCAATAAATTTAAAACTACCACGAAATTACGAAAACTGGTAAAATTCTATGACAAAACCGAACATAGTACTTACTATCCGAAGAGATAAGAGAGACCATTTGGCAATGCACGGAAAGAGATCTAGACCGATATGAAATCGGATAAGACGTTTGCAGTCAATGAAACGAATTTATGCACCATGCAGCGCGATGCAGTCCGTAGGAAGAAGCACGCATACAATATCTGAGAATCTATTGCCAAGAAACACGAAGCCTTCCTACGTCCCATTTACCATACATTAGTTAGCATAGCTTTACGTAACCTGTCCTATCTTACTTATGAGCCAGGGCTGCACCTGTTTTGCAACTTCCTAAATCACAGCGAAATGCATGAGCAGCTACGAATAATATTTTCTTAAGTTTTCATTGTTCCGTTACTCATGAACGTCTTGTGGAAAAAGAAAATAATTCGTCAAAACCACAACTGTATCTAACCGGTGTATTAATTTTAATTAGTGCAATAATAACAGTAATATTAATTAACTACGTTGTCATTGTAGTTATCAGATTTTTTTGTCGTAATCAAAATTATCACGAATGACAGTAAAGAACGGGAAAAGGAAAATGAAGGAACGAAGGATAACAGGGTGTCCTGGCACGCGCCAGGAAAATGGCGTCGACAGTGACGTCAGTGGCTAATACACAGCCGAAGAGAGTCAGAAGGGAGATAGATATAGCCCGTGCGTAAGAGAGAGATAGAGCGAAAGGCGAGAGGAGCAAAGAGAAGAGAAACAGAGGTTGGAAAGATCCAAGCTGACCGGGGATGGTCAGGATGGTCAACGTGCCTTGATTGGTCAGCCCTGCGAATGGAGGGAGTGGTCGAGCGGCAGCAGCTACATTGATCTCTGAAACCACCGCGAGATAGAAACGGGAAGCGTCCAACCTTTCATCTTGGGTTCCGGAGGATTCGCATTTTCTCACAGTTAACTTACAGAGACATAAGAATTTTCATATGAATCCAGAAAATGAGATAGACGAAAATTCAATTTCGAAAATTAATTTTTTTTTTTCTTCCACTTTTTTCCCTTCAACAATTTCGATCTTTCTTATTTGTCTTACAGTTGGCACAATGGTGGTAATTTTATCACGGTAAGATTCATACGAAAAGTAATGAGGGCTGTTATCCTCGTAAAAGGGGACTTGATTTATGAGCTTTAATTTTGGGATTAATGGATCTTCACTCGATGCAGAATTCATTCGTGGAGAAAACGAGACGCGACAATTCTGTTAGACAGACGTTTCTTGTACTTTCACCCTCTATTCTCGTGGAACCTTCGCCATAGATACTTCTTCAACGGCAGGGTTATATTGGATTCCTGTCTGAAGGGCTGACCCCATTGATAAGGGTCATCACAATGCTCTTCGTATGCAACGTCCGACCCTTCGCGGCCTGATCTACTAACGTGGAAAAAGGGTCGGGACACTTGGACGTCGAGTCGTCCTACCAATTTGGGGGTTGAATTTTAATTGAACTTTCAACCTTTTTCTACGAACCCTAACAAGTTGTATATACAGATATACATATATTACGGGTAACTTTGATATATCCTTGTTAGAATTTGCAACGAGATCGATGCTATAAATGAAAAATTCTGGTTTGCAAGAACTGGAAAGGAGTAAAATTCTGCAAATAGATCAAAGACGAAGTATTGTTTCTCATCTCATCTCCGCCAAAGATTCTCCTCAAGTTTGTACACATCTTCGTACCTTGTATTTCAGTCAGCTGTATTCCTGCCTTTTGTTTCCCTCAATAACATTTCCCTCCCATTTACCTCCGATTCGCTAACATTTAAATTCGTCTTAAGTAAACGTAATCAACATTTATTATGTATTTACAAAAAAAAACGTTTTCTATAAAAAAATTATGGATACCGTGAGATTTTCATAATATAAGAAATATTGAATGTCTAATTTATTAAAAATTAATGACCACGGTATATGGTCATTCTTAACAATGAAAAGTGAAGGATATTTCTAACATGTGATTAATATCAGTAATAATCCATGGATCAAAGTTTATGGGACACCATGCCAAGTAATATCTTCAGAAGGCAAGAGTCTGTATATGGAGCCATTATCGTGCAAAACCGACGAGGGTAGAAGGACCCTATTCAACCCCCATAATAAACGTAGCCAAACCCCATGGCAAATGGGGTGTCAGATAGCCGGGACGCAACACGATATTACTACCTACTATTTGCCGAGTCAGAAGGCCTAGAGTGTGGATGCGTTAAAACCCCAAAGAACCCCATAGCATATAGACATGCCAGTGTGTTGAGGGATTGTCGAACGATTAGTACACCCGTTAGAAAGACCAGTAATTTTACGTCAAACATTACGGGTCGACCCCAGGACAACAACCCTCAAAATCCCTACAAGTCCTTATATACAGAACAAACACAAAAGACGTAAAAGACTTTTCTTCTCCATAATAATTAATTCGAATTTTGTCACACTCTATACGATTATGGTGGGTGTCAAGAAAATCGTTACTAAAATTTTACATCGTTTCTTTATTATTCTACAAAGATCCCTTATCGGAAGTCAAATGGTTGATACTTAGTATACTACTAGAGGTCTGTCCATACTAAAGATTTTTCTATGGGGTTCCTAGTCTAACTATGATAGCATCTTTTTTGCTCTTCCGCTTCAATACTTTCCCTTCTACTTTTCTATAGTCGACGTGTATAGATGCTACCGGCTAGGGGAGGTTTTTGAACGGGTACCCTTTTTCGGACACGCGTGACTTTCCAGCAGGTAGATGATGCGAGACGCGTGCCGACGCGTGCGCCATCTATTCATATGGGAGTTTAATAGTTGGCAATAACTTTCAATGATTTTTAAACACTTGGATACACATACTGATAACTGTACATCAAAGATGTTTTATAGAAGGGAAAAAAAGACGAGAGATCATTTAAGTATAAGGACCGGTATGAATTATCGCGTCAATGCAATTAATGAATCATGACAGTGATAAATTGTATGAAATTAAAATCAATAGTAGAAAGGAAGTGATAATTCAAAAATATTTTATAAAGATGATTGACTCCAAAATTTGTCATTAGACAAATAGCTAGTATAAAAAATGTTTAATTAAAGTTCGCTTGAGACCTCACAACATTCCTTTGTCACTGGGTCTCCGGCTACTGCGTAGGCCTAACAGCAGAGAGGCTGACGGAAGATTGAAGAGATAATGAATGGAGACAAGAGCGCGCATAGTAAGAAGGTTACGGGAATGAGAATTCGAGAATGAAAAGGTCGTAAGAAAACGTGAGATCTCAACTGTTCGATATCCCGAGGTTAAAAATCCTTGCATGGATCCTTCGTCCTGACGTTCCGTTTCGGTACGGCACGAAGAGCTACGAAGATACACGAAGTTTCTCGACTTGGTTCCTTCGTGTTTCTCAGCGGGTGCCATCAGCAGTTCTGCACCCTCGCATCCGTCAAAAAGTGTCCTGTTCTCATTCTCATCCAGTCGTATACTTTTTTTTTTTTTTCTTTTACCTTGCCTTTTTGCCCCTTTCCTCTATCCTTGACCCTTGTCCCATAAGTGGAGGGATAAATAATTTAAATAATCTTAGCCTGTTCACCAAGCCACGAATAAGAGATAAAAGGAACGTTAAAGGAGAAAAAAGACCGTAGCGACAAGAATAACGTTGATTCATTACAATAAAACGTTCTCTACCACGGAATCTAATTCCAATGACAGTCTTATATGCGTAAGGACTTCAAGTATATGTATACTAAGTGAATCGTTTGAAAAGTTACCCGCTAATCATCTCCTATTTTTATTTTCCTGATTTCAGGTTTGGAATCGCAGGTGCAGGACTCCAAAGATCTCTACTGGTTCTAGAAGCAATTGGAACGAACGCGCGGGATTTTCAAAAAGGAATTTTAAGGAGTTTCATGGAAATCATTTTTAGTGAACTCTAAAATCCTCAAGATGGCACTGTAAGAAAAAAAAAGAAACTACGGATACCCATTACCACTACCTGCTGCCACAATCGCTATCTGGACAAGGAATTGATGGATTTGTAAAAAATTCGAAATTCGCGCCAACAAGAAGATCCCACGTGTGCAATAAAATTTCGTAAACGGAAAAATAATATAGAGAAAGTTTACGAAAAAAAATACTTTTGTTACTTATACATATTATCTTAGAACGACGCGAGCCGAAATATTGTGTAAATCCGTGCGTATGTGTATAGCGCATTGCGTCATACGGGTGAGAGTGTTTCTAAAGTGTACATAGTGTTACCTAAACCTTTCGAAGGAAAAATCAAATAACTATTAATTAGCGTTAAAACTATAATGACGGCGTAGAAGGGGTTAGGGGGGTGGAAGAGGAGGATGACAGTTGGATGATTTAATAGAAAAGTATTGTGAATTGAACAGGTTGCGCGCGCATCATTACCCTTACACGGTCCATAGTCCATAGTGAATAATTGACTTGGCGAAATGGCCGATGGAAGAAAAGGATGGCGAAGCGAAAGAAGAAAAACGAAGCAAAGGACAGAGAGACAGGAAAAGAGAAAAAGGGGAATAAAAAGGAATCTCTAGTTCATAGTGTGTAGACAAAGGAATATATTATATAGTGAGAGAGAGAAAAATCTGTGCCTAACGTGACGTCACGTTTAGGACCCGTCAAAAGTGAATGAATGAATCACACGCGTGAGTTAAGAGTCGACACGGGTGTAAATGGTGGCCTCTCTGATATCTCTGTTATATATCTATATCATTTTAATTATATTAATTAATTAAATATCGCTGAAAGCTTAGTCGACGTGTAGAAGAATAAACGAGTATTTATTGACCAATGATCTTGCCATACGTTACGTGTATTATTGTACGAACGGAGAGAACCGGAGGGGCCGTGAAAATTAATTGACGATTCAAATGCAAAGTGTTTCTTTTGAATTTATCAATTATTCGTTTTTTTTTTTTGTTTTTTTTTTCAAAAAAATATCCTATTTGAAAATGAAAAACACTTAAACGAATTGCGACAAAAGAATGACGAGAAATGTTCAACTTTTCGGATAAATAGTTGATGAAATAATTATAATATTTGAAGAAGAAAAATAAGGAAAAAAAAAGACATGCGATTTTTCTTTATCCCAAATTATTGCATACCTGCATCTGCGCATAATGCTCCTACCTACCATACACAATATCATGCAGTACCATACTTTACCATATCAAACCATATTACACTATACCATATCACACCGTATCACGCCATACCGTATTATACAATACCATACCATATCATACCATACCATACCATACCATACAGTACTGTACCGTATCGTACCATATCATTGCCTAGAGTACGTAAGCACACCATACCTATCGTGTTAAACCTATGGTGTTATAGGTGTCAAATAAACGATACATCATTAAAGTGATTCGTGTAAAATTGACAAGAGTACCAGAACCTTTTCACAGAGAAAAATTGAAAAGAAGAAAGAAGCAGAAAAATTAGGTAAAAAATATAAATATAAATTCTACTGTAACTCGTGGTTCGTTAAGACCCGTGCCGCTTAGTTACACGGCCTAAGGGTTTTAACAGTTGGAAAGTTAATCGAGCGGATAATAAGAAAGGGTTTAATTTAATTTTACATTCGTGGATACGCTTAAGCCTAGTCCACGCTGTCCCTCAAATTATATACCAGGAAGGTGTACTAAAATTGTATATTACGTATAGTAAAAATTTGACAAAACATATAGCAGGAAAGATCGTACGAGAACTTCAGATCATCTGTCGATTTCCCTTACACGTGTCGTAGTGACGTCACGGGTCGATAGGTCAAGAATGGCCCAGTCGCGGAAACGACGCTAACAAGATGAGAAAAGTGGCAATTAACTTCGACACCTTGCCTAAGGAAGTGATTTAGTCCTGACACGCCTCTTGCATATACATATATATATATATATATATATATAAAAGACACCTAAATAGCATATACGGTCTCTCATGTGTAAAGCATCTGGACCATTAATATCGTCCAATTTGTATGGATGCTGTTTGACTAGCCCAGTCGACTGGTAAGATGCCTAAAAGACACCTAAATAGCATATACGGTTGAGAAAAGTGGCAATTAACTTCGACACCTTGCCTAAGGAAGTGATTTAGTCCTGACACGCCTCTTGCATATACATATATATATATATATATATATATAAAAGACACCTAAATAGCATATACGGTCTCTCATGTGTAAAGCATCTGGACCATTAATATCGTCCAATTTGTATGGATGCTGTTTGACTAGCCCAGTCGACTGGTAAGATGCCTATACGTAAAAAAAAAAAATGTTTTTTTCTTCTCTCCAAGAGAAAGAAAAAGAAAGGTCAAACTTTTAGAAAAACTCAAGATATTTCTTAGTAATTTTACGGATAATGACTAGTCATTTAATAGAGACAAAGATACGGGCAAGAAGATTATAGAAAACAATAGTGCCATCTTCGAGAGTCCCTACCTCTCTCTCTTGCTCTCTATTTATCTGTCTCTCTTTTTTCTCATAATCTCCGATCGACGTGGATTCCAATAAACGGTAGCCGCCACTAAATCTACCAAATAATAAAATAAATCGTGGACCTCTCGAGGGGCCGAGAAGCTAGTCGATCCTGAGATAAGGCAGAGGAGAGCCGGCATGGAAGATTTACTGGGCGCCCCGACGCCCTACGTACCTCCACAATCTTCCCACAGGACCTTGTAGTAGGTACTGCTCCTTGCTACGTTCTTGATAGCCCTCCAGGTTTTTCTTATAATTATGACCAAGACAACAAAATCTCATGCAACGTTTATATATTAGCTATATTTTATATTTCCATGCATTTCTATGAACTCAATAGTTTCCATCCCCTTCCTATAGGTTTATACCCACTAGTGAATAATTTCTCAGGTACAATACTGCAACAAGTATGACACGTGTACTATGCAGGCGTTGGTCGAGTTCATCTAGGTACGTATATGCAAGCTGAGAAAGAGGAAGAAGAAGGTGCATAAGTCTCGGTAAGTTGCACGGTGCGTAACGCGACACGAATGCAAATAGGGCATTGCTCTGGCGTCGACATAAATCAGTCTGCCATTCGGCGTTCTTCTGGCGCGCGTATGATTTGTGTGCACGCATATGTAAACTGTGGTGCGTGTATAGTGCAAGGAATAGAGTGTGTTTTGTTACGCAATCACACGCATATGCTGGCTAGACGGGGAAAAAGTATCTACAGGAAACCACGTGAAGCCCACGTGTAGCCACAGGAGAAGTCACATACGCATACGGGGGCTAGAGTGTTAGACTTCCTGGGCTCTTCCTGGGGCCTCCTTCCTCTTGGCACAAGGGTGTACGTAGCAATACATGTATACATATATGCAGACATTTCCACCCAGCTCTAATAACGTCGCTCCTAACAAGAGTAAGGAGAATTTGACATGAGAAAAAAAAATTATTTGTACTCTGGACCAATAGGGATGCTGGAGAATAACGGCAGAGCCTCTGGAAGATCATGGATAAATGGTGGTGCGCGAATTGCTACCCTAATGTACTATGGAGATAATATAAAACTGTTGAAATTAGCGAATCAGGATTGGGGAGCGTAAAGGACCCCTCGATTTTCGGTAATTAAATACCGAGCACGTGGAGCAGACTTCGGCGTAGGCCGCAACCCCAACTTTTCTAGGGTGGATTCGTAACCTACCCTGTAGCCGACACTGGGGTTGCAAAACTGGGGTCAGGTTATTGATATCGGACCGGGTTGAGGGAGAAGCGAATGGGTCGACCGTGAATATGAATATTAATTTTGTCTAATTCAATTCTCAGTACCCTAACTCTCTATTCATCTATGCTCGTATGTATTTACATACGTCATTACTGTCACTGGCCCGGCAATAACCACGAGAAATATGGAGACGATTGGTACTGTGATAATAGGGTCCAAGATTGTAGCAGATTTTGAAAGTGCATGGACCAGGTCGAGGGTGAAATAAGGATTCGCTTAGCTATCGAGTCCCATAACGATATCGGGGCCCAGAATTATCGTATACGGTATAAGGCCCAGTCGGTCGCCTCGATGACATAGTGACGCCGCGCTCGACAAAGGAAGGAAAAAACGTCTAGGAATGCCGACGAGCATATTTCGGCAGTGTCACCTCAGAGGCCATCCTGCTCTCCAGCCCTTATACTTTGCCTTGCCTCGCCTTATAGCCTACCTTCTTTTTCACCTCCTATCCTCTTCGGCTATCCTATACCAGTGGACCCTGTCTTCTCCGCTACAGCTTCTCTGCCTCGGGACACCAGCATATCCAGTGCGACTAGCGTCATGGACTTCTCTACCTGAACTTCGATCTCGCTCACTCTACCCTAGAGAAAGATCCTGATCCTTCCTCGTGTTTCCCACGGACCCTGAACGACCTTCTGGGACCGTTCCGAAAAAAGCTATAAGACTGACCAATAGCACCATCAGGCCCACCTTTATACGTTTCTGCAGCTACGTACGTACGCGGAGTGACATCGGTTGGCACGAGCTGCAGGTCCTTTGATCTTCCTGATCTGTTGAGATCAGGCACTGAGAAATGGGACGGCGCATAAACACCTGCTGAGGTTGAATTATAAAGGAGGATCACAAAAGTCAATTTATACATTGAGTGTCGATTGGTTGATTTTTGGAACGTTCGTCGGTATTAGAAAGGCTGACGAGTGTAAATGCATATGAAAGTTCTGGAATCTCAGGTGAATTAGATACACGAGTAGATATAGGTACCGATATCGATCTCTAATCAAATATCATCTTTCCACTCTCAATCTTTTTCTCGAACCGTCCCTTCTAGAAGGCTGTCCCTAACGTCGTCGTCGACGTCGTCGTCGTCGTCGCGCGCCAAGGAGCCGGCAAAGCGCTCGTGGAATGTCTTCATTAAAATACCGACGCTCATCATTTATGCAGAGCAAAAACACAACGAGGTGAAGCCACGACGCAGGACAAGATTTCATAGAAGCTTGCGAAGGATCCTCATCTTCTACCGGAACAATCCTGACCCCGCATCAGGTACCAGAATTCAATAAGATACTTCGAGAAGAATTTTATTAACCCTGTATCAAAATTTACTATACTTTCGTATTTAAAAAGAAAATAGACAAGGTAAAAATAAAACAATGTAATTTTTCCAAAATCATAAGCGGTCCAAGCAAGACCTCTAACCTTCATCTTCGCGACGGACCCCACGCGTGCTAGACGCACTCACCCACGGGAATGGATTTATGAGCCAAGGAACTAGAAAGGCCAACCAATAGACGGAACCTAATGGACCAACCAGGAGACCAAGAAACCCACTAAATACACTTCATCTGTAGCATCATCCTCCAGCTAATGTTGAACTTGTAGACTCGTAGATGGAACACAGGGGGAATTCATATAGTATACCTACTATTACATAAACGGACACAATATGCTATCTTGAAACATACATAAGCATAGATAAACTCCTAGATATCCTCGTTGACAGAAAGTCCCCTTGGGGCTACCTGCGCCACGGGGTATCCAATCCCGTGTTGCCTGCGGATGAAGTAGTGGAGTTGGTCCAGTGGTATAGCGCCATCTAAAGACCGGGTTAGAACCCAGCCTGGCGACCACCAATACACGTCATCTCATAGGAGACCCACGTCTTCCGAGTAAAGGATAGATCGTAGATCGTAGATCCTGTGGATCCATCGAAAACGATCGAACTCGATCCCACCTGAATTAGGGAGGATGATTCGGACATTCCTGAGTGTCGCAATCGGTATACCAGATGAATAATATTCCTGTAGGAGGACTTCATGCCCCTCAGGACATCAGGATGACCAGGTGAACAGCATATAGAGATAAAGTCGACTATGAAGAATCCTAGCAAACTTGCACCTGGTTCCCCGTCAAAAAAAAAAGACAAAGAAAGTCAAAGATAATAAAGACAAATATATTTTTTATATTTTACATATGGATACAAACCTCCGCCCCGACCCTTCTACTTTCAACCCTTCGTGATAGCGTGATCAATCCGTATTCTGATTCGTGGCTGGAAATCGTTCGCAGGAACCATTACGAGTCCCTTTCTCTTCTCATAAAACCTTCTCAAAAGCGTTCCTTCACTTTTACTCACAATCAGTTATATCCATTTCACGAATTCCCATCGTCCCACTCGCGGTTATCGTCAGACATTCGTGTATCACGATAACCCTGTTGAGGGAAGAAAAACAAAGAACAAAGAAATCTAACATGTAAATTTAGCAAATTCATTTCCTATCACAGCCCGGTACCTAAAGACTTAATGACACAAGTGCCATAATAAAATATAGCCATTTATTTATTGACTATATAATTAATAAATATCTAATATATTGTGATAAATTTTTTTACTATAGGACATATAAATATCTATATTATAGTACAAAGTAACATGCCATTCAAATAATCTCACAATACAAGTACCTATAGCACGTAGAAATAGTGCAACTGTCTTGCGCTTGCATTGCAGGTGCATCGTAAATTCACTGTACACCGAACGTACCTTCTGTCTATGCAACCTGAATGCAAGTGACCGGTATGACCGATATGTTCGCCACGTTCTCCAGCTGTCCATTGATATATGCATACAATAAGATACGAGGAGCGTCTGTCCATCCGTCCATGTTGAAAAGTCTAACATGTCCAGGACACTCAGCTGCATTCCAGAGATGCATGTCTCCTTGATATTTTATACAAAACAGAACATTTCCTCGATAGGAAATGAACAAAACTACCTAACGTCCCATTCTTTTCTCTATTGCTATACAGGGTATGCATTTCCGAATTCCACAAAAGTGCCATACGAATGAAACGCCATACGCTAAGCATTCCAATATTGGGGGTATACTAGTTGGAAATGCATATTTTAGATACGTGACGTCAGTATTTAGATAAAGTAGGTGAAGAAGATTATTACGAAATACAATATTCATACATTTATTTACATCTGATCGATAAGTGTTACATCATTATAGTTTGACTGGCACCCGGTAGTTTCTATCGCTTATAGGGACCATCATCATCATCATCAAAACGCCCACGACGATGGTCATCGCCATCTTTGAGATCTGGAAAGATTTTAGGATATAAGTTACACGTGATTTTTTTTTTGTAATAATTTAGTCTTATTATAAATCGGTAAATTTTATAAATTTATAAATTTTATTTCACATATTTTCATACTGTCGACTTACCTTGTATATCATTGCTGATTGGACTTTAATATTTCACTGTGAATTGGATCTGAACCTTTCAACAATTTCGATCGAACTGACGTTTCTTCTTTCGTATCAGTCTATCTATACGGCTCTGACATCTGTATATATATTGTCAAGGACTATATTAATGTGTTTATTCGTCGATATTGAACACTTGTGTCAATTTCAAGGGAATTAGCGAAAAATCTTTTTGTAGACAAATTAAAGTTATTTTATAAATGTAAATATCGAAATTGAGAGAAATATGTAAATATTTGATATCTTGAACAATTTGCTAGTATTTAGGTTATTACGTCAGGTTTCGTACGACGAATATACATATTATTCCTATCTTACGTAAATATACCATTATGATTGCGATACACGTTAATGTTCCTGGATAAACGTAGACCTCTCGATATTTTATTTCAAGGTGATTAATGACGATGCGAATTAAAAATTTCTTCGTGACAAATAACGAGTAAGCATAACGTGCAAAACTAGTGAAAACTAGAAAAGTACGAATCAAAACGTTCGCAACACAAGCAAAAGTCTGCGTCGTACATAAGATGAATGAAAAAATGATTATTATTTACTTCCAATATTAAAAAAAAAAAGTAAAAATAAATACTAATTAACTAGAATCGACATTACACAACTAGATCTTGAATATGTCATCTAGCCTCGAAAGATACGAAAAAAAGAGATTGATTTTGAATTAAAGAAAATTTATTCGTACGTACGTAGCTGCGAAAGTCGAGAGTATTGAGATCGTGGTTAAGGAAGAGAGAATATCCGTAGACAGCTTAAGAATGGCGATTTTATCTTCGTTAAAAGTCCGATCGAGAGAAAGAAAGGAAGAAAGGTACCGAAGACGCACGCGCGCCATCTTATAATAGGATCTGGTATCGCCCTGTATTTTCGTGCCAAAAAGTCCCTCAGAGGGCACGTTTTACGTTTTCAAGCCGAATCCTGCTGCCTTCGATGCAGCTTACCTCTGGACGCACCAGATATAGATATAGGATAAACAGCGGCTCGAGTGAAGAAATCTTTGCACACGCTGGGCGTTGGGATATATTTGCATGCGATCACTTGCCGATTAAGCGCGATAGAAATCGCAAGTCCGAAGGCTGAATTGATGGCGCGGCTACCGGTTTTATTGGTTCTCCATGGGATTTAGCATGGCGTATAGTCGTACCACTGTATTTCCCTATAGCAGCTACTCTTGACTCTTTTTATCCCTGTCCAACTAATGGGATACTATGAATTGCTCTCCTTGTCACACTCATACCGATTGTATCTAATGGAAAAGGATGTTCCGAATAATTTGTATGAAGTTTGAAATAACGTGAATTCTATTTTAATTGTCTCACGTTGTGTACAGAGTTATGCTCCACTTTTCTCTAGCATTCGTTCTCTCCTGTTAGAGTCAGTATCTTTATTTCTTTCTCTTGCTGCAAGAGAGAAGGGCTGAGCGCATTCGTAGCGCAAGTAGCGTTCCTCGCGTTCTACACTTCAGCTTCTGTTTGCGCTACTTTGCCCGTGGCCCGATGGTATGCAAGCCTCTTGCCAATTTCACGCGTGTCCACGCGCGCGACCCGATTCGCCTCAAGAGAAGCCAAGAGAAGAGACTTTTCTTTATTCGATCGATACCAACTTCTATGCGTACCTACTGCACATTCTACCCACTCCATGAGCACTGTACGATTTACACGTTAAAATACGCATACAGTAACCTTGAAATATTTGATAAGGAATTTTCCAAAATTTTTAACATACTTTTATACCTTGTGATATACTGAGTTTACTAGGTTAAATGAAAGCTACCGTAACTATAGTGAATAACGAAAATAATAATGAAATTTTTAAAACAAAAGTCAGAACAAAAAAGAAAGACAAAATGTAATATTTTCGAAATTCATAATTATGTGATTTCAATTTTTGAAATTTTTGACAACATTTTATTTTTTGTTTGTTTGTTGTATTGGCAATTTGTATGGATCTTGGGGCAAATTTAGAGGATGGAACGACGTCGAGGACGACGACGCCCTGCGATTGGGCGTCCCACCGTACGGTGTTACCATGGCGACGACAACCCCGACGTTTCACGGGGTTGCCGTTGTCGGCGGTAGGGACGAATAACTCGCGAAAACACGTAAATTAAACGCACTATGGGGCTTGATGGGGCGGAATGGGAACGCGAGTGGATCCCAGCCGTGAAACATAGCCGTCATAAGCGGATATTAAAGCGTGTTTCCGGAAGAAGAGGGCGCGCGCGAACGCGTCTCAAAGACGAAGAGGGTCAACACTAGATACGGGCTACGAAATACCGAATAAAAGTCCACTTGCATTTTTTCGTCCTTATTCCAAATACCTCCGGTATCTTCTTTATCAATTTTCAGCACTTGAAACAACACAACATTCTTTAAGCAAATACAAATGTCTCCAACGTTTTCACATAACGTTCCCATTTCTTTTTCTCTTATTTCATTCGTGACGTCACTTTATACCAGCACCTCAGAAAGTCATCGCTCCACCGACTAACAATTAACTTTCCTCCGATTAAAGGACTCGCTCTATTACTGGTCACTGAACCCCACCGTGCGCTTTCACGAGTTCTAAATCATCCCCAGCGCAAAGATTGCAATTCCTTTCTTTCTTCGTTATTCCATTTTCGATTTCGACCTCAACGAATAATAAGCCATATTGCGTAAAACAAAAAAAAAATATTGAAAGTCCAAAATCCACACCTCAAACTATCTTCTGTAAAACTATCATAAAAATTATAAAAAAAAAAATTCCCACAATGATTGCAAACTCCTGATGTAAAATTCGCAAAGGACCCTCGAGCCCGAATGAAAAAGTATAAAACAAGAAGAAGATCCAGATTTGAAAAAAAATCTATAAAACAAATGGAACAATCTCAATAAGGCACGTCAACTTTCCCTATATGCTTGGGATTTCGTAGCCACGTCTTTTTCTACACATTGCGTATTGCGTAGCCGTCGGAGCAGCGCGGCGCGGCTGGCACAGCTCAGCACATAGAGAACAGCCACATCGGATCGCTCTCGTACAAACCAAGATCGAGGTATGAAAGTGCGCCAATTACCTTGTCAATTACCTCGATTGATGGTTACCAGCCATATTAGATTTCGCAACCGATCAAAGCCAGAACCCCGTGCGCTTGACGTGTGCGCGCCTATCTATACGTACCTGCCTACCTACCAATCCTACCTGCCTGCCTTGCTAGTAGCCAACCTACATGACACTCTCGAAGAATCGACAACTAACGATGAAACAGCAGGTACAGATGAATCCAGAAATATCTCCTTGGCATTTTCCATGAAAAGAACGAATATCGCCACTAGGACTTACGTGCGTCGACGTACAGCGCATGCCTGCACATACGCATCGCCTGGACTCAGAACGTGAACGTAAGACACGATGCACCTTGCCAATTTCCGAATTTGCACAGGTGCATAGTCTCGTATGATATCTCATAAATATGTACACCGGCATAGATTGCCGTCAGCGTAACGTTGACGTACCGTTGATCGCGTCGTGACGTATGTACCATCATACGTTATTTACATGAATCCGCGGTAGGACAAAGTAAAGGCGGGAAATTCAAAATTCACACAAAACCGAAAAACTTGCCTGATTGAAAATACAAATTAGGGTACCATGGACGATAAAATAAAAAATAATTTAATTTTTTTATTGCACATATATTATATTGCATTTTTAACAGGAAGATCTCGTATCAATAATTTCATGACTTATAGTTACATTCCATTCTCTTCCCCGGTGGCGAAGCCATGACAGTTTCTCAAAGAAAAGGGTTGAGGTAGCTTGGACGTTTTAAGGGGATCATATGAGGTGGATCCAGCGGAATGGTCGCGGTGTCCTTTGATGGGTCCTTTCTGGCGGCCATCGCCGAGGGTTTTTACCCCTGACTCGGTGGAATCCGCCAAACACTTTTACGCTGCAGTGCGCCATCGGGCGCATTGAAATGCAACTCGCGTTCTCCTCTCTCTCTCTCTCTCTCTCTCTCTCTCTCTCTCTCTCTCTCTCTCAATGCTCCGCCGTTCGTGGCCCTCGCCGAACACTCGCTACTCACGGAGATCACTCATACGATAAACCACTAATCTACCTCCTACCACCAATCACCTGGAGACCCTCATTCACCCTCTTAAACGTCATCAGACCCAAACCCATCCTACCCCTTGCAATCATTGGGCAACAATTCAAAGCGCAGTTCGATAGCGCGATCAATCTTTCTGTTTTTCACGGGCGAGATATTGCATTAAGGGCAGCTATGGGCACGGCAAGTCACTGGCTAGTAGCCGAGCGAGACGCGAGTACGTAAAAAGCCATATACCCCGTGCAGAGAATGTAGGGTAAAACCACGTGGAAAAAGCATGGGAATATTGCAAAGTAGTCAAAATAAGATTCAGTCGTATTAACAATGTTGAAAGAAACTTTTGAAAAGTTATATGTACACACGTAAATACTAACAGAATTTATTTTTTTTTTTGTTGGTATACAAGATATATGCATTTTTCTTCGTTATCTTCAACTGAAAATATTTCAAAGTGATAAAAAACATTGGTATAACAAAGACAAATAAAAATATGAAATTTTTTTGAAATTAACAACAACCAAATCACCGGTATGTATGGTACCGATGTGAAATGAAATGAAGTAAAAATAATATGTAGACACAAAATATAAGATCTTTTCAAGCTTGAATTTTCCTCGCTTTATGCGACCACCAAGAATATCTGAAAGTGTCCGTGGTACCTATTACAATGGTGCACGCTGCTGGAGACATAATAGTTCAAAAGGTTTATAGGTCGTAAAAGTAACATGGCGGGTTCGTTTGTTCCCCTCGTCGTATCTGTGCTCGCGATTGAAACGCCATCAACGAGTCGTAGTTATTTCTCCAAGTTCTCCGCCTTCGCCACCTACTCTAAAACATCAGGATCAAGGATCAGCATCAGCAGCACCTAAAACATTCATCCTTCATCCATGGTCCATATACATAGGTCCGGGACCACATGCCGTGTCCTGGGGAATTTCTTCATTTATATCGCATTAAAACGAACGGGCAACTTTACGGCCAACTAAAACTCAACTATGGCGACAATGTCGTTGCATAGAGAACAGAGAGCAGCTTTATGGCATTTCGATCCCTACAGCGAGGTGCACCTTCTGTACCCTCTTAAACCATCTGAAATCCCCTTCTGTTTGTTTTATATAAAAAAAAAAATTTTCCCTAGAAATTACGATCAGCATCCTTGAATTACATTGACGATGCACCGGATATTGACTGCATCGAAACTGCTGCAAGTGAGGCCCATGAAGGAATCGTTTAATCAAGTATCGGCATCCGTCCAATTCAGTCCTATCAAGAATTCGATGGGTATAAGAAGTCATTGTGATGATTCTGAGACGAGACTAATGATCGTGACGGATGATATTGAACGGTACGACGACGATGCACCGATGCATTATTTAACGTTGGAGATATATCGGTAAAAGATCCGCACGCATCCTGGTGCTTTCTAGCAGCCAATGATTGGCTTCTCATTTGCACTGGCTAGATACGTTGCTAAGTAGATACGCATGCACTCGTCTCTATGTGCATATAGATAGGTGCGCATGCACTTATGCAGTCACGCACGCAGTCGGCATATTCAAAGAGTGAAAATAGCGCGAAATTGTCGGGAGTTCATTACCGCGATCAAGAGAGAAAACAGTACACATAGTAGCGACAAAGATAAAAATAAAATAAGAGTAAAATGGAATGGGTCGAGAAAAAGATAAAGATAATCACTGGCGCTATGTTGTCCCGTAGAAAATGAGGGAGCCGTGTTCGACGTTACCGTTGCCGTTGCTGCTGCTGCTGCACGTCGCATCCGCCGGGAAATGCTAAACCTTCGCGGTGGAATTTGCCGATCGATCGAACCGTTTAGCGGTATAAACGATTATCAAGAAATCCCTGACGATCGTGCACGTTTTCTTTTATTCGCTCTATGGATATATCGCCATCTATACTGGTTGATCGTCTTACCACTTACTTCCAAGCAACCTAATGATATCCGGATAGTCGGGATAGGCTTTAACCACTTCATTTTACAGTGCTGTCCGAGAGGTGGTACTGCTGTGGAGTCTGTAATCTAGTAGTAGACAACTGACTCTATGTTTTTTAATATGGAATCTGTATAGTCGGTTCGCGAGAACAGTTTCACTTTGAGGGGACTTATTTAACGTTTCGGTTCGCAAGGCGGTGGCCCTTTAGAGCGAAACTGGATTTCGCTACCTGATTATAGGTTAATATAGAATGAAGTCTGTTTTTTCTTAAATATAGAGTTTATAATTTATTAATAGATTATTTAATTCGTTTTTGTACTTTGTATAATGGATTTGTACGTTTTTGGAAAATAAATTTATATCTTTTGTAGACCTTTTGAAAATTATTTTTGAGAGAGAGAAATTGCGTAATGTACCAATAGGAAATTCTTAGAATTTCAAGGATTTTTCTTCGCTATATTGGTACATGGACACAACTTTACCCCGTCACTTGGCCTATTTACTTTTGTTTTTCAAGGGGTAAGGAATTAAGTGAAATACCAGAAGCACGCAGCATGACTAGAAAAGGCAAAGGGCAATGGGAAATGGAAGTGGAAGTGTAAGAGGCGCTGAATGAGTTACCGCCTTCGACAACCCCCCTCCCGAAAAAGTCCTCTCTCTCAATTACCCTAATGAGCACAAATGCCAATACTCACTCACTCAGTGACTTTCTTGAGTTTTTCGTGAAACGGGCAACTTGCGTCGCTACGGACTACAGGGACTACGTCTTATTTTTAACGTCGACAGAATGGGGGTTGCCTGTTGACGAATTTGCGGTAAACCCTTATTCCACTTGGATATAGAGACACTCCCGTTCTATCTCTGTACCATATGATGTTAAGGGTGGAAACGTCATAAAACCTACTAATCTCTTGTCTTTATTTTCGAAAAGCAATAATCCAAAGGATTAAATCATTTAGGAAATAATTCCTTACGTATAAAGATATACATATACATATATACATTAATAAAGTATAGTTTGGGGACAGTTTGAGTAATACAGCCGCTAGTTTGAGAACAATTGTATAGTTTCGGGTCGGACCTCAAAGTTTTTTCAACATAATGTATGCTTTGAGGCCCATAAAGCGACTGTCACACCAAATTTGTTTATTTTTTTTTAATGCTAGACATCCGGAGTTGTGATGAGCTTAGAAAGTGTTTCGTTTAGGTTAGGTTAGAATTTCAATGCTGTGATGCGTGAGGGTATTAGCTAAAAAAAAACGTTAACTTGCTATTGTGAATGCCCCTTAATCGTCTGGGTCCTCAAACTAAACTTGTTACATGATTATATATATATACAATTTGGAGTTTCAATTGTAATTTGTTCAATCTTGGAATCTTTCAAAATACTTTCAAAATATTCTCGGTACACGGGTCGAAGAGAAATACGTGACATTGGAATACTCAAATTCCTTTAACCCGTGGCATTCTTCATTCCCCCTTTTTCCGCCCTATTTTTTCCACCCTGTTCGCGTCAAAATGACTAACAGCCTCACGTGGAGTTTAGGGGAGTCTAAAAAATGAAGATTTTGTAGTGACTAGGGAAATACAAAAAAAAAGTAAGAGGAGTTACTTCTAATGTATTTTCGTATTTACTACCTATACGATGCCAGGCAGAATTCGAGCAGCGCGCATAAAGACCCTTCGACATTGTTCCAAAAATATACAAAGGGTGCGCCACTGAACAACCAAGTACATTCTACAATCTGCTCCAATGATAATGCAGAGAGGATCGATGACATAGCAACGTTGCCAAGTTTCCTGAAGGTAATCCTTATAATTTACAAGGATTCGTAAGAGAACTGCGGCGGAAGTAGTGAGAAAAAAGTCAGTGCTCCTACTTGATAAGGTGAACACACTACAATTCCGTTACAACACGTGGGTCATGTGTCTCCATCATCAAAGTACGTACCCAATATAGTGACAGTGCACATATATAAATGAAAGTGCAGTGTACATATGATAGTTTCAAATTGCACGAGTGTATTTCGGCTTGTGCCATGAAAATCAATGTTTCATCCAAGCACGGTTGGTACCTCATCTAAAATCCCGAAATTTTCCATCGTCTAGTTTCAAATGTATAGACATTTTTTGAGTTACTCTTATTGCGAATTATTTTTACCCTTTTTCGTCTCTCTTCATCTCTGTGACTTCTCAAACCATCGACGACCCAGTGCCGACTGACAGTTCGTATAAAAATTAGTGTTGACACTGAGCAGCATAAACAAGGCAACAGAACATGGTGGATCTTAATGAAACTCACTGTTCCCCCATACGCAGCTTACCAGCATGAGTTTCTGGCCACGAAGACGCTTCCGTATAACACCGCTACGAGTGCTCCTGGCATTCATTGTGGTCGGTGTAGTCTTCTGGTATAGCCTCAATCGGCAAGAAGCACCACGACAACCCTGTAGCGTGCCAGATGAATTTACCGAAAAGTTGCACGACCTTGCAAACAGGTTTGTTCTACAATACCATAAGAGCAAATGGCATCATTCTTCTGCCGGATGTGTAAATTCTTATATTATCTGCCGTCGATAATGCAGATTTGGATAGTTTTATATGCGAGTGTGTTAAAGCATGATCTACTTTCAGGGCTCATTTGGTCCTGGCTAAATTAGGGGTAGTCCACTTTCTTTGCCTGGGTGGACTTTGGGGTCAAGCAAGAATAGGTCGTGCTCTACCCTGGGCAAGAAAAATAGAATTGTGCTTGGTAGACACTCTAAGGGATGACGTCCTTATTACCAAGACTTTTAGGGAGGTTGGTTTAAGCGCTACTTACTTACACGCTGCTGGAATTTATCGCGTACAGGAGCACGAAGTTGGCGAGGATGCACCTAAAATAGAAGTGGTTGTTTTCGAAGAAGATTCAGTGGTAAGAATTTCTACTGATACTCAGGACTATTTGACCATCTGAAGATGGTTCTATAGAGTCTCTTCTATCGCGAAAAATTTTCGAAATCAAATTAACAGAATCATCTTCAGGCGGTGCAGTAGCCCTGAATAACCGTGTAAATATATTTTGGGTAATTGTTTGAAACAATAACATGTGTTCTATCTTGTCAATGTCTGTTTTAGACTAAAATGGTAAGAAGGGTTGGATGGACTAGACGAGTTTTGCCACCGGATTGTGAACTTTCACCAAGTCTACAGTGCTTTCCGCCTCAGTTGGTAATACCACCGTTACCAATGAAACAATTTGGTGGTTATTTACTGCCAGTACCACGAGAGGGTATTGAACTACAAAAATATCATTATCCTAATGATTGGTGGTTGGAGATCAAACCTACAGACTGTATAGAACCTGACGTCAATCATACGTAATTGTGAACATTTTTTAATGTCATCCAATGATGAAAATTTCAATTTTCGCGGGTACTTAATCACTGAACTTGGTCACCTCTCCGATTCGCCTAACATGAATTGGAATATTGGATGTAGCCAATGATTCAAGAACCGACTAGATATCAAAAATGTTAAAAATTCAAGCCTCGTACTTGTTTAGAGAGTAAGAATGTTAGTTATTCGCCGGGACTAAAAAGATCCATATAGTTATACAACATAATCATCAATCGCATAGAATCTCACAAACTTAGGAAATACTTAACCGCTTAGCCTGGAATCACGTATCCGACGCTTTGAACTCCGCAACCCACAATTGTTTTGCACGTTTGCAAGCTGTATACTTTTCATCCTACATAGTTATAGAATTGCATTTAATTTATTACTTTAACACAAATTATCATCGAACAGTTGAACATCGATGGTCTTTTGTGATTCGCAGACTGCAGAATAATTAGACAGCTTGAGCTCACGCGACTGCTGATTAAATACTAGGCCAAGTGGTTGAGAAAGTATTAAGCTTCTTCAGGCAGCAATTGGTACTGGGAGCTACGAGAGAATTTAACTTACTTAAAATCCTTTTGCATACGTAATTTTTTTTTCGTTCTTCATATAATCAACTATGGCTTGTACTGTGTGTACGATTTGTTTCAAAGCACATATCTTAATGAATAATTTAGTAAAGAAATATTGCGACTACATCGGATTCCTACAAAATATCTTCCGAGCAAAAATCACTACGGATCGTAGATGAAATTCCGCAAGAAACTGTACATTTATACAGAAATAAAGACGTGTACAATTGTTTATATCGATCGTACCTCCCTTCCTCTCACTCTTTCTTTTTAACTCATGAAACCTGGCAAAGTCATGCAGTGGAACGGTAATAAATCAGATAGGGCCAAGTAAGATATTATCAAAGTCGACGGCCCAGATACTCAAGAATATCCTGGGGAGGATTCAGCCAGTAAGGATAACAAAAGTTTATATTTTGAGTAATATCAAAACTTAAAACTTTTTGACTCTCCTTACCATTTTCCATTTTCAATGTACATTTTGTACCAGAATGAGGATGTAAACGTGTCTGATGGATTATATAACTTTCCATCGGATAAATGTTATCCCATAACTTTCAAACTACAACAAAGATTTCAACCGAAGGATAACCACGCGATTTTGCTATTATAAATTTATTTTGAAGTATTTGTGAATTACGTAGAAATATATTTGTCAAATACATTTCAAGATTGTATCCTTAATCAATGTCGACATTTTCACTTGATCTACGCTACAAATGAGTTGCTATTATACAACCTTTGTAGTTGTAATCTCGGGTCAGATTTAAATTCAGGAAACTCCTTTAACGTTATGGGTCATAAGAAGATGGCCTTATGAGATGTACTAATGTGGAACAAAATGTATAGTAATAGTAGTAATATAGGTATCCGTTATTTTCTTTAACGAACCTTTAGCCTAGCAGGAAATATGTTTAACGAAGATACTTAATACTTAAATTATAACGTATAAAGTTCCTATGTTTTATAATTTAAAAATAATCTTAATTTTTTTATTGACTTTCTTTTAGCTCTAAGCAGAAAGCGTGTCGAGCATAAACAATGCACTGCAGTTACAGATCATAACTGTAATGTGAATTGTCAAGTGCCAATGCTTGTATGCAAAATATAAATATCTGAAAGTTTGTTATTTATAAATATATTTTCTAATGACTTTCTTGATATTGCATTCATATTTAACAGTGCGGATGCACAATTCTTGTAATGCACTCAGGCCAAGTGCAATGGTACTGCACTCGTGCGGAAACTAGTTGGGGAATATTATGAATCTGTAAACTTAACGTAACTCTATTATACATTTCCTATATTATTGACTAAAAATTGAATATTGCTATATTTTAAATAATCATTGCAATATATAGAAACATTGTTGTTATTTAGAAAAGCTAAACAGCGTGCACTCGTACCAAAGGCACTAAACGTATACTATAGACACGTGGACGACAAAGTATAATTGATGATTGAACAATAATCAAAAATATTATACGTGTAGTGAATCTCTGATTACTCAGATAACAAATAAGATTACGCGTTACTTATTTATCACGTACGTGAAAGAAAAAAAAAAAATAATATTTGGAACACAAAATTGTTAAGAAAAACAATTTTCGAAATGCTTTGTTATTTTTAAGTACGAACCCAACTGTTTTCATTAATTTCTCCGAATATATTAACCAATAACACATTACCATGAACGTCTCAAATTTCGTGACGAAAAAAAGATTTTTCATTTTCAATTTGCCTATAGAAAAAAGGAATAAAAAAAGATTGTCATCATACAAAACTTGACGTCTACACGAATTCACCATTTCGTTTTAACCTTGTCTCGTAGAGTGATAAATCTCCAGCCCTTACAGGATAGAAACTGTAAAGAGGATGATTCCACACCATTGTAATCTTCGTCAATCAGACACCGGATATCCGTTTGTCACCATGTTTGCCATTCTCTCGAAATCGCAAAAACCCCAACGAAATTCTCACTAAAGTAACTACCAAAATATATATCGAGCACTGTTAGCTTTCCGCCATTTTCACATCCCTAAATTTAAATTTATAAGATCTCCCTCGTATAACCCAGCAAGAAACGATAAGAATCTGAACGAAGAAAAGATCTGCTTTACATAATAACAATCAAGCCCAGAACCCCATATCGATCAGATACCGAATTTCTCAAATGAAAAATGCTACACCCAATCAGTGAAAAATCGTAAAAGCATAGTAAAATTTGAAAGGCAGGAAAACGCTTCTTTACCCTCGCCAAAAAAAAGCGCCGCCCTAGAATCTAGAAAAGCTTCATACTAATTCCTGAAGGCAGCTCAGAAAATAGAATAATCGTCGCTTTTATTGTGAGCACGAAATTGTCGATCTTCAACGTTCCATTTCCATAACAATGCGTTTATTTCGAGGCTGCACGAGGTTAGCTAGAAAATGAAGGAGAGAAACTCTTTGCTGCCCGTTGTGCATATATATGTATATAAGTCTATATGTCTTCATACATAACCTATATATATCGGAATATGGTGGTAGCTCGCGCGGAGTCACGGTTCGTACAAAAGAAAAGCTTCCAAAGTAGATCAATACTCGATTACCGGTCGAGCCATTATCAGTTCCTATCAATATCTACACCCAGTGTAACATTGTCGAAAGCTTTAAACCTTTCGAACCGCCACCCTGCTGTGTACCACCCTTATGACCCCTTTATTTAACGCCCCTGTGATTCAACGTCACACTTACACATATATTGCTACGCTCACGCGGCATTCACCTAAACTCTGCGCAATTCCCATTTCTCGAGCTTTCCTACATCCTGACGTCGATAACTACGAAACTTAGCGTGGCCCACTTTTGAGGGACCTTACATGTTCTTTGGTAAAGGAGCACGTTATACCTTCTTCCCTTGTCATTTGAATATACGCACGCACGTGGCATTATGTATACTTTCGTCCTGATCACGAAGCATACTTACCGGCCAAGTACTTGGCAGTAGTATAAAATTAAGATATAAGTTTTCATAGGATTCAAGAGATTTTATCATAATTGCATAATGACAATACAGCCATTTGTCCGTGTATTTATGTATTGTCAATTAAAAAAAAAAAAATTTATTTTTTAATATTTTTCACGCATTGTTATTGTCTTCTGACAAGTGATTTTTTAGTATCGACAATTTTCGTATAGGGCGTCTATGGAACTTTGTATGGGTCTTACGAGATTTTTGTGAATTTTATTGATTACTTTGCGGGTACTTTGAGGGAATTTTAATTTTTTCATGTTTCTTTTTATCGCGAAACAGTGATGGATCATTCGTCTAATAGATAAAGTTAGTGGGCGATGCTTCCCGAACTTACCGAGATACTACGAGATACCGTTGGTTTCTAGTTTTTTGAATTTAAACTTTTTTCCTGTTTTGATTAAACGAAACTAACGATCTTCGAATACTGCTATCAGAACAGTCTGGCTCATTTGTCTAACGTACTGATGTTTGGAAGATGAACGGTAAAAGAATTGAATCTACATAGTGCACTGGGATAAAAACACGACAGTGTAAACTTTAATTTACATAATTATCAGTCAACGAATTTATCTTGGAAGCTGTACTGAAAATTTGAAAAATCTTCTTAGCATGTTAATTCAAAGGCATTCCTGCTTCATTACCATCACAGAAATAGTAGAGAGAATACTGTATTAATTGTAGTAAGTCAATTATGTGCTATTGTATTCCTATCAGCGGTAGATAACTCAGATATCGATATCCGTGTTAAACTTATTAAGGACGTGTCCATAGTCTGCGAATAGAGAAAACTTAGGTGTATGAACAAGAAAAGAAAAGTTCAAGTAACGTCTGTTTATGGAGAAGCAGAGTCATAAAGTGGGGAAAGCATATAAAAGACGACCAACTCAATGATAGACTTTCAAATCATCAAGTAGCGGTCCAAAGGCAATTGTTGTGTCTAAATGTGGGATCTTACAGTATAGCGGTTTAAATAAGCATTACTATACCTTGTTAAATAGCCACGCGCAGTACATTTGACACTTTTCTATTACCCGCTACCTTACCCAGATACGTAGTACGCGGGCATCGTTTTAGTAGGAAGCAAAAATTCGTGCCCTGGATTAAACCTAACACACGCCAGTATGCATACTGCGATTATGGATACAAGTTTGACAAAGCTAAGATAAAAGGTGCTCGAAGAAACTTCTAACCGTTGTATTAAGTAGAGTGCGTTAGACATGGTGCGAGGAACTCTTGAGCGAAAGTGGGACTAACAGACGGTTAAAGTAGACATAACGGATTGTAACAATATCATTGTAAAGAATGAATTTCCAAGTAAGTCTGAAAGAGCCGTTTGACAATAGAAATTTTTCAATTGAAACTATTTTTTGTTATTCTTGACAGAATCTGCTCGTACTCGTTATCGTATTAGTAGAGCTTGCTGGTATGTTGGATGCTTACAAGTACCTAAGACGCTACAAATACTACAGACCAAGACCTCGTTATAGGCCAAGATGGCATCATCCTGGTAGACCTAAATATTATCCGAGAAGAGAGCCAGGATATTATAATCCAAGACCTTACTACAGGTGAGTCAAATTGAACCAAAGGATCTCTTTGTCCAATCACAATATCTTTACGAGTACGAATTGAAAACCTGGGAAAGCTATAATAAGAATCGTTTGTATCGATCAAATCGTTTGAAATCTTTACAAGTCTTTGAGGTCGACCTTGATGAGTTTGAGGTTTACGAATAATCAATAAGAAGCACGCTTGCAGTTAACTTTACGTGTGTGTGCATAATTAGGATAACCTTACCCACAGTCCCTACAGTGTTGAATGAAATATGGTAAAGTTGTGAGGTTAGGAGGTTATAAGGTCTCTCTTAGTGTTCAATAGATTATTAACAGGGTAGGTAACAGTTGTTCAGGCTGCCGCTTGACTTCAGGTTTATTAAACTGTAATTACCTACCTTTGCCAACGTGTTGAAAATCTAGAGACGATTTACTGGTAATTTTTTTGGTGCCGTTTGTCAATTTAACTTTTCATACGTGTTACGTGCTACAATGTAACGGACGTAAGGGACACCAATTTTCAGTAATTTTACTCTAATGAGAATGTTCGTTACTTTTATTTTATGTGTCGACACAATTCTTTGGCGTCACATTTTTAAGGTTATCTGATCTTTCTAAGGTCATTCGTAGCGAACGGCTCTTTGAAAAAAATTCTTTGTTAACATTAGTTCTAATTACCAGTGAGAACCGTTGACGGAAATTTTAAATACCTTTGCTCTACTTTACCATGTGGGTCTTTGACACTTGTTTGCACACGTGACGGTTTAATTTACATATAAATGTCAGTGCTCTGTACAATCTTTAGGTATCCGGCGACTTACGAAAATCCTGTAGACTACGCGGTGGAGGAACAGCCTTATACTATAGAGATAGAATTGCCGAAAGGACACGGACAGTCAGGAACATATAGCAATGGATTTTATCATAGGGACTATAACACGGGCTTGCAGAATGACTATATTGGCGATGATGATTATTTGGACGATGACGACGACGACTCCAGGATTTTTCGCGCGGGAAAAAAGAAAGTACAAATAAAGGTAAGTGAAACGAATGACGAATGTTTTTTAAAAAAAATGATATGCCTGTAGCAGAAAACAAATTTAAAATCTTATACATTGACAATATTATCTGCTGCAAAGTTACCAACATGAAAAAAAATATCATTAGAAGAAAATAGACCGGTTGAGTACTTGATAGTCATGAAGTGAAATACAAAAAATTTATAGGTGGTCAAGGGTGCCAAGCCGAAGCTTCGCATTAAAATTGCCCGAGATGATAATCTTACGCAATTAAATATAACGGAAGCGGACAAACTTCTAGGACCCGAAGTATCGACCAATCTCAAGGAAATTGATGATCCACTTGAAGAAGAATGGGTACCGTCAAATCCGGTTCCATCATATCCTAAATTTCTTCGCGGTGCCTGATAATTCTTCTATTGCTGCCATATTGGAGTTACTCTCATCCTCATATATATTTACGTTATTCTCTCATGTATTTTCTGCAAGTCATTCATTCGTTATCAGTTTTCTTGACTGACAGAACTTTCTTTTTATGCCATTAGCTCAATGTCAGTGAGTATATATATATATAGTTTTCTATAATATATCGATTAATTTTCATATAGTGTTTCAATCCTGTCACTACAGATTGATTGAAAATCCAAATATAAATTTCAAGTACCTACTGACCTCAATCAAGTACACATGTGTGCATACGCAGTACAAAATATATCACAGTGGCATGAACGTGTTACGTAGAAAATAAAACAATTCAAAGTACAACGGTCGTTATAGGCACTTTGATGAAAGAACAATAGTTTGCGATTTAGTTTTATTTCTAACATAATAGTCAACGAACATATAATAGGTAATAATAGTAATAAATAATTATAGTAATAATATACAGCTTTTTTTCTTCTTCTTGTAACATATTTCACAACATCGACAATCCATTCGCGGATTCACACGCATCTTTACTGCATTACACCTATGTATTTGTCATACATATTTTTCCGTACATGCAAACACGCACACGCATAATAACCACATACCCCCTCCCTACGCACGCACTAATCCACTTGAATTTGTTTACTATATTTTTTGGAAAATCTATTCCAACGTGTATTTTCATTTTCTCGTGGATTTCATGCCACGCGTTTTTTTTTTTTGGGGTAGCCATATTTTTTTTGGAAGAGTACGAAACGCAGCCTAGCACAGCCACGAAATAGAACACACCATCGAGCGCGCAGATAAGCATGTCTGGCAGATGCATATTCGATTCCATCTCCATTCCTACATAAACAACGCAAAGGCGGAAATACATGGGTCATGTCAGAAATTTAAAGAAATAGGTAAAACGACAAGTACCAGTGGGTTTGGGCTTTTTGACTCAGCTGGTTTTATGCCGATATCGATCTACGGACCAATTCAATGCAAAAGTATAGAATGGGGCATGTACATGGGGGGGTACATGTACCTGGAGCCAGAAATATATAAATTTTATACAGTGCACATACTTATGCTTTATAAATATTTTTTACTTTTTTTTTATACGGTGTCATAGAAAGTAAATATTTTTATTTTTCCATACATCAGTTGATCGCCATTTCTAAAATAATTTTTCAGCGTGATCGAATACTCGTGTAAAGTTTCTTATGGAATTTCATGTGACATAAATACATATTCAATTCAATCTGACTCATGTAATTGCCCATGGTTTGCAAAATGTATGAATTTACTTCTCTTGCTGTATTATTTTTATCACCTTTGTATTAGAAATAATACTTTTATTTTTTATTTCCTTCTCCTTTTCTTGTTTAGTGCTACCTACATTGCACTTTATACATATACATGGAAATGGAATCGCATTGGCTGCTATCTTGTCGCTCATACGTCATTGCGATTTCTTTCTGTTAATGATTCAATAGTTGTGCGTCTTTTCTCTCTCTCTCTCTCTCTCTCTCTCTCTCTCCCCCTCTCCCTCTCCCTCTCACTCTCTCGCTCTCTTGCTCTCTCTCTCGCTCTCTCTCACGGGACCTTACAGTCACACGAAAAGGGTTATATAAACATAGAAACATACAAACACACATTTTTGCACTGGACATTAATCGTGATGATGTTAAGCCAGCATGTCCTGGTTTTATTTCTTTTTTCAATTTCTCTTTCTCTTTTCGTTTCTTATATCCACGCCCAAACTTAGATATACATATTAGCAGGACATACATTACATCACTCTCTTTCTCTCTCTCTCTTTCTCTCTCTTACGGGTATACATCTCGTTTCACTTTATTTTATTTTTATATTAGTCTAAGAATTCCTTTAAACTCGTTTAGAATCAACTACGTTTCAATTTTTTTTTTCTCGAAGCACTTTATCGCAGGTTTCCTTTTTTTAATCAAGCACTTATTGCGTTACATCTCGATTACGCGCGCGCGTGTACAGTATATATGTTTTGGGTGTGTGCGAATTTTGTTTTTCCTTTAATTCGCTCCTCTTACTGTAGCTTTGGTTGTATTCATGTAGACGCCGATAACGGATGGTTATCAAAGGTTCAGGGGGATGTCAGAAGGACAAGGTATACGTAGCCAAGGTACAACATATCAATTTCACCATATTTTCTAACGATCCATTTTTCATATACGCTCACTCACTCACTCCTTACACGTATTCCCAATTGTTACGTATATTTATCTCTCTCATTCATTCTGTATCTTGCAACTCGCATTCCTTCACGGTATCATAACATTCCACGCCTTGACACTCGTAACTCCGTTAATTAGAAACTATTCATTTTTTTAACGTATCACAATTATTATTTATGTAATAAGCACTCTCTCGCAATGTTCCACATTGTCGCAATTTTTAATTTCGTTCACCCACCGCATAATTCCCGTTATTTGATTTTCTTCTTCGTTTCTTCATTTTACTTTTTTTTTTTTTTTTTTTTTT